TCTTGATTGTATATGACAGGGAAAGTTAGTGGTGCAGTGTCAAATAAAAGCTTCAATTCTTATTTGTACTGAGAAGGCAGTAACTCTCTATGGTTATGGATTCAAGTTTATGTTTCTAAAATGTCCAACAAGAGGATATTTCTCCACAAGTGACTTGGTGAGATCCAACCTCAAGCAGCTTCGGATCAAGTCTGACTGTCTTTCTTGGTACCAGCAAGCTTTAAAAAAATGACTTTTTTTTTTTAAAGCATGAATATGCTTTGTATATTAATTGTGAGATAATGGACCCAGTTTGTTTTATTTATCAAGTGTTCTCCCCACGCATGACTGTGTGAGAAGATTCTCTGAGATCCTATCAGGAAATAAAGTAAGTTCCTATGTATTTGTGGGACTCAGCACGAACCAGCTGCATGGATCCTGGCCCTGTCCTTGGAGCAGCTCTCCAAGTTCTCTCTCAAGCTCCTCCCGTCTGACCATAATGAAATGTGTGTACTGCACCAAATGCTTTTTCTTATCCGAACCTTTCCAAGTGTTCTTCTCTCCATCTAGAATGTTATTCCCTGGCCTCTTCACCGAGCTGAGTCCTATTTCAAGACTTAGCTCATCACTTCCTATGGGAAACCTTTGCTGAAGTGTGTCTTGCAGAATTATCTTGGCAAGTAGTCCTCTTCCTATCACAGCACCACACTGTTGTGGCTTGTTTACTGAGATCCTTTTAGGCAGGAAAATCTGTATTCAGTTTTCTATCCAGCTCTTAGCTTAGTGTGTGGCACTTAGTAGGTGTGCAATCAATATTTATTTATTATGCTGTTGATTTAAATAAGTGAGAATCTGCCTGCTGGCTGCTGAGGCCTGTGAAAAATCAGCTGAGCTAAGATCATGCAAACAAACCTAGTATTCAACCAACCCAGGGAAGCCTCAGCATTGGCAAGGAATATGACATGTTGCTGAATAATTGTTTTTTAATTACTATATAGACACACAGATATAGTTATAATAATCTGTACCTTAGGGTTGTTTGATAGACATGCATGCTCCTAAATCCCTGGAAACTCTGAAGAACAAAATGTCTCATAAGGATTTTAGCAAAGCTAAATTAAAAAAAAATAAAATGGGGAATGTTTACAAGTTTAGGTTCGGTTTTGATCCTCAAATCAAAACATATGCCTCAGTCTGTCCTCAAACCACAAGCAGGATCTTAAGTCCTGCCCTTCTTTCCTGGAAGCCAAAGAAACCTCTAAATATGCTGACAGTCAGTCATTTTCTGCCCTCTCTAATTTTTCTTCCATTTTAGCTTTAAAAAACACAGAACTATTATGGATAGCAAATGCAGGTTTGCGTAGAGTAAAAGGAATAAACACATTCACTAAAAACCAAAAAAACCCCAAAACTGTTAACTTTGTCTCCCATGCAGCAAGGAAACTATCTGCCTTTCCCACAAGTGCTAAGAAACTAGTTACATACACTGGGGTGTGTCTATGTTTAAAAATAGGAGCTGGGTATAAAACTACAAGCTTTAGGGTTGCAATGCTGGCAGTTTGCTACTGCATAAAAATGCCAGACTGATAGAGACCCAGAACTAACACTTGCTATAACAGCACACATCATTCTCACTAGGCTGTACACTCACTTTATTAGCACAAATTCTCAATCAGGAACACAGCAGCACAGCCATCCTGTCTTACCCTAGAAACTCCCAGTCTATAGACATAAATCTCAGTTTGTAGATCATTCCCACAGGAGGAAAATGAACAGGAAACACAGAAGGGTTCTCAGCAGCCTGGTTTCTCATGTGCTCCTCTTTACTGGAAACTATTTCTTGATGTAGAATTTTTCTTCAGATTGCACTTATGCACGGCATAACGATATTTTCATCAACAACCAACTGCATATATGACAATGGTCCCGTAAGATTATAATGGCTATACCGTATAGCCTAGGTTTGTGTAGGTACACTAGGATGCTCGCACAATGATGAAACAGCCTAGACACATTTCTCAGAACGTCTCCCCATCATTAAGTGATGCATTACTGTATTGGTGTTTCAGGTATTATACCTGAAGAGCTGTCCCTCTTCAAGGACCCAAAGTGTAATTCTCTAGGATAATCCAACAATATCTTCCCTATAAAAGCACTTTGGTATCATCCCTTGGCCTGGGCCACTAACCTCGTCTTCTGTTGTCTTGATTCCACTCACGCTTTAAGGCCCACTCAAAGTCTCCCCATACCCTTGCACTAAGCCTTCCCTATGATTTGATTCCAGACCACACCAACCAAACCTTTACCTGACTGCTAATAATAAAAGCCTGTATTTACTGAGTGCCTATTCTTTGCAAGGTACATCACGCCGTCACTATGGTTAATCCTCACGACTTTTATTTTACAACTGAAGAAACTGAGGCTCAGAGATGTTCAGTAATTTTCCCAGAATCACACAGCTTGTAAGTGACTAAGTGGATACCAGGCTGGGAGATTTAACTCCAACATCTGTGCTCTTTCTATAACTCCACATCACCTCTCATTTAGTATTTCTCTTTCTGAAATCTGGTTTCCTCCAGTAAAAAATCCCTTGAGGGGAAAGGTGATGACTTCATTACCTGCACTCTCTTTAAAGTCATCATCACCACATGTTTACTAAGCATCTACCTTGTATGTGGCATAGTGCTAGATACTGAGGACACAGGAGACATAGGCCTCAGCCCCAGCCCTTGAGGACAGGGAACTAGAACAGAGCCCAGAGCTCTTACCTGGTGCTCACAAGTGTTTGCACCAGATTGATCATGGTACAGAGGGATAAGCACACCCTCTCGTTGGTATCTGGCACTTCCCAGTAATACCAGTTACACTCTCCTGGAATTCAAAAAGGCACTTCTACCTTGAACACTATATCTCAGGTTTCATTACAGAAATACAGAACATCTTGTTGTAGAGTGTTACCTCGGACTCTAAAAAGCTCTACAGTGTGATCTGATGAGCATTTTGAAAGCCTATTTATCCAGTTGTAATTGCTACTTTGGCAGAGCTTAGCAGCAAAGGAGATATTCTGTGACTAGGAATGTTGAGTTAAAGGAGATTCTTATTGAGAAAGACTCAGATTTCTGTCTTTCTTCTTTCTCCTAATTACCTTAAGAAGGCTGCCTGCTGGGCAGGACAATGGAGTAGGATTTTCGGGTTTGCAGAATGTTCTGGAAGAAACCTGACCTATTGAACTTAAGAGATGGCTCCTACTATGGAAGCTCCATTGACTAATGATAAAAAGCCCAGGTCAGAGGATGTAGTTGTCCAAGATTAGTTTTCTGCAAAATGACTGACATGCCCCATGGTCACAGCACTGTACACACCCCGCCTGGATGAACAAGTGATTCTCTGGCTTGTTCAGCAAATTCTGTACAAGAAACTTTGTTATATCCTAACTTTAGCTGCATAAATGACATAGAAGGACAAGTAAAGAACAACTTTGAGGAAAACAATGTGGAGTTGCCTTTGCCAACTCTGACAGATAAAGGAGTTTCTATTTCATTTCCTTTAGACTTCTCCTTCAAGGAATCATTAGAGACTACTATAAACAACTACTGTTACAGACTACTATACGCCAACAAATTCGAAAATCTAGAGTAATGGATAAATTTCTGAA